AAAATGATGCAGGTGCCCCATTTGCTGAGTGAGCATCTAAATTTCCTGCTTAAGAACTTTCATTCTCTATAGGAAAAAAACAAAAAACAAACCACCATTTTCTGTTAATCATCAGTCATTTACAGTGACATTGTAGTGACAATAAACTAGTGAATAAATACTAAGGGAAGACATTTTTTAAGATTTTGACATTCTAATTTTATGGTATTGGGGATTGAACATAGGGGTGGCTTAACCACTGAGCCACATTCCCAGTCTTTTTTATTTTGAGGGAGGGCCTCACTAAGTTGCTTGGAGCTCAGTGGTGGAGAGTTTTGAAATTGTGATCCTCTGGCCTCAGCCTTCCAAGCCACTGGGATTACAGGTGTGCACCACCATGCCCGGCTTGGACATTTACATTTTAATTTTAAAAATAAATAGATCTAAGGGCAGGGGATGTAGCTCAGTGGTAGAGTGCTTACTTAGCCTGTAAGAGACTTTGGTATATGGAGTAAGACAGTTTTAAAATAGTGATAAAGTTCTAAAATAAGTTTGAAAAAAAAACAAGATTCAAAAATTATGAATCTGCCAGGCACAGTGGCATCCACCCATAATCTTAGACACTCAGGAAGCTGAGGCAGAAGTTTTGCAAGCTCAATGCTATCAGTGTAGGTAGTTGGTCAGAGAGGAGCTAGAATGGAAGAACTGGAAGGTGAGAAAGTGGTGGCAGCTGTAAGAGTCCCTGAGCAGTGATTGAGCCAGAGGACCCAATAACCATCATGCCACTCCCTAAGGACACAAATTCCTTCTCTCCTTTTGTGGGTGGGGCTAGGGAAGAAATTCTTCTGAGGATGGTGAGCAGACTACTCAGAGCCACCAAATACACCATCACTCTTCCCCAACATTCTACCAAAGGAGTAATTACACTTCTCCACAGATTTTCAGGCACACATCATGTTCCCACGGTATGGCTTGTGCCCACCAACTGTGCTGAGGGCAGTTGACTGCTATATGATCTTCTATCCATGCCACTAGGCCAGAAAGGACAAAATGACCCTGGTACAAAAGGGCACAGCACAGACTTCTTATGATTCCTTCAAATAGGCAGCCACTACACAAGCAGTGGCCTGAAGAGGCATGGCTACTGCCACTGCAAGGTTTCATGACACTGCAAATTCCACCCCATCCTGACAAAAGCCTAAAGCCTAATCATTTCAGTGCATTTTTGTCCCTAGCCTATCTGACCATCTTTCTCTCTGAGATGTATCTCACCATCTTTATCACTGTCTCTTGCCTTGCAGGAAACCTGCTCCAGTTACCATCCTTGCCTTGCTGGACTTCTGTTTCAGTGCTGGGGTGATTGCACTAATCTTAGGCATTATACCCAAGGGCTTAGGATCACTTTACAGTCACTTTCAACCTCTAGTAACAACGCCATCTCAGGTAACTTAGTGGGACCCTGTCTCAAATTTTAAAAGAGAAGGTTCAGGTAGAGTCTGGGGATATAGCTTAATGGGCAAAGTGCTTTCCTAGCATGCCAGGCCCTGGGTTCAAACCCCAATACTATATATTGTTAGAGTCTGTAAACAAGTCGGGATGACACCTGGCATTTTGACAGGGGAATGTTAAGAGTTCGTAAACAAGTCTGGATGGTGCCTGGCAAAATGCCAGAGGGAGTGGTTTGAGAAGTAATAAAAGTGAGCCATTAAGTGTGGAGATTCCTTATTGGTTGACTGTATCTAGTTTATGCTAATTAAGATAAACTGTGTGGAATGTATAAATAGCTCTGTCCTCCTACAATAAACAGCTCCCTCTTCTGCTGTATCAACGTACACAAATTATTTGTCACCCCCGGTTATTTTGCCAGCCAGCCGGACCCCGGCAATATAAAAATACACACAAAATCATAAAAAAAAGAGTATGGATCTCTATAAATAGAAATTACAATGTAGATTTGGCTAACACTTTGAAACCTAACCTGATAGCTATCTTCATTACATTCTACAATGGATAAAGTTGAATTGCAGAGTCATTAGGCAGACATTTGGTTTTAGAAGATATTGCCAAACATATTTTCAAGCTAGTTATACCAATTTAACCTCCCACAAGCAATATATGAAATTCTTGTTCCTTGCCTGCATATGCCAATTCATTTTAACTACATGTAAAATCCTCAGTTACTTTTTTTTTTTTTTGGTATCAGGGATTGAACTCAGGGGCACTCGACCACTGAGCCACATCCCCAGCCCTATTTGTAGTTTATTTAGAGACAGGGTCTCACTGTGATAGACCCAACCTAATCTTTTCTTAAAATTGGGAGCCATCTCGCCACAAAGCCATGAAAAGATAATTTCGGCTTTACTATAAATTACTGCAAATTCTGAACCTGCTTGGAATGCCTGCCTGTGCCTTAACTCACCCATGCCTGGCTCTCTGACCAGATAGCAGCCCTCTCTGAAACTTTAGTGACACCTCATAAATATTGGCCTTCCCTGGCCAGACAACAACCCTCTCTGAGGCTCTAATGAGCCTCATGAATTCTTTTGGGGCCAGCAAAAAAAAAAAAAAAAAATGTAAACTACCATTAGTGTTATGCTGTCAGAGTTCTGTTATCTGTAATCCCCCTTTGTGTAACTTTCTGGGCTATAAAGCTGGGCTGCAGGAAAGCTGCAGCTGCTGTCTTGTTCCCACGGTTTTGGGTGGGAGAGGCAGCCCAGCCGGTCGAAATAATAAGCTTGCTTTAATTTGATTTTAATTGGAGTCAGTGGTCTTTTCTTGCATTGTGGTCTAACAACTGAGTTGCTTAGTGCAATCACCATTGCTGAGGCTGGCTTTGAACTAACGATTTTCCCATTTCAGTCTCCCGAGCCACTGGGATTACAGACCTGGGCCACAACACCCAGCTCTTAGTTCCTTTTTTAAAAAAGTTGTATCTAGGGGCTGGGATTGTGGCTCAGTGGTAGAGCGCTCGCTTAGCATGTGCGAGGCCCTGGGTTCGATCCTCAGCACCATATAAAAATAAATAAATAAAATAAAGATATTGTGTCCAACAACAACTAAAAATAAATATTTTTTAAAAATTATATCTTTTGTCCCCACCCTTTTATGCAACTCTGGGCTCAATAAGCAGATTCAGTTTCCAGATTTTAATCAAGTAAAACTAGAAAATAAACTGGGATAAAAAATTATTAAAGAAATGATGAGGTTTGGGGATGTGGCTCAATGGTAAGAACTAGGCCCTGGTTTTGATCCCTAGCACTGGAGAGAGAAAGAGAAGAAAAGCAATGATGAAATTTGCCTCAGAAGGAATTGAGGGGAAAAACAGAGGCAAAATAAGAAATGGGGAAGAAAAGTCCTGAGTGGTATAGGTTCTGGATATGGGACAAGATTTGAAGAAAATTGAGAGTAAAGGAAAAGAGAGAAAAAAAGATTTTAGGATGTGAAAAATATAGTGAGGAAAATGGAAGGTGTGTTATGAATGATGGATAATTGATCTCTTTATTACTTGAAAGAAGCAAATTAAGATAGAAATTCCTTTTAGCTACTTTTTATCTTTGCCTTTTCTGGTTGTTTTCTTTTTTCTTTCTTTTTCCTGTTTTAAGATGGGATCTTGCTGCATTGCTCACATTATCCTAGAACTCTCAAATCAAATCTCTACCCCAGGCTCCTGAGTAGCTGAGACTGCAGGCATACACCACATGACACCACAACATGCCCAGATACAGTCAACAACTTTTAACAACTGAACTGTTCTTTAAAAATGGAACCCCACACATACATTGGATCTGTGGAAATTTGCTCTACCCACAGACTACATGAACAATCTGTTGGAGCTGAAGAGGACTCCCACTACTTCCTTGAAAAATTTTCCCCCCAATAGGCTTCTATAAAAATCTCCCTGGCTGGCATCTTAAGAATTCTTATCTACTGATCACTCCCCAACTTTCTTTCACTTAACAAAGATTTGGGGACAAGTTCACATTATTTTTTTTAATATTTTTTTTTTAGTTGTAGATGGACACAATATCTTTATTTTTATTTGTTTAATTTTTTTTAATTTTTTTATTAATTGCTCAAAACATTACAATGATCGTTTATTTTTATGTGGTCCTGAGGATTGAACCCAGGACCCCACATGTGTGAGGCAAGTACTCTACCACAGAGCTACAACCCCAACCCCAAATTCACATTCTTCTACACCAACACATAACTTAATTCTGTATTCCAATGGCTACAGATGATGACACGTATAACAATATAGTTTTGTGATTCACAAACTTTTTAATTCCAATATGTTTATGCATGCTTATAATACCAGCTACCCAGGAAGCTGAGACAAGAGGATTGCAAGTTTGAGGCCAGCCTGTGCAATATAAAAGACCCCATCTCAAAAAACAAAATTATAATTCCATGACCTTTGCCCATGTTCAGTATGTTAGTCAGCTTTGTTTGGGTCACTGTAGCAAAATACCTGATATAAACAATTGATAAGAAGATTTCAGAATTTCAGTCTGTGCTTGGTGGGCTTCATTGCTTTTGGGCCTGTGGTTCGATAGTAGTACATCATGGTAGAAATGCATGTAGTAGAAAACTGTTCATTTCATGGCAGTCAGGAAGCAAAAAGAAATGCAGAGGAAAGGCTGAGATCCCAATATCCCCTTTAAAAGCACACTCAATGACCTAACTTCTTTCCACTAGGCCCTACCTCCAAAATGTCTCACTAAGTCCCAACAGTCCCCTGGGCTGGCAACAAAGACTTTTAACACGTGGCACTTTGAGGGAGACTTGACTAAAGTACTTACCATAGTACTCAGTGGCACACTGTTGAAGCTAGCTCATTCCAGTTCCTGAGAGCTGATTATTCTTAGCTTTTTCATATTCCATGCATAATGATATTATATTGATAATACTGGTAGCTTGAAATCAGTCATGGTGAATCAATAAATGCTACAATTTGAAATGTTCGTTCTTTCTTTTTCTTTTCTTTTCTTTCTTTCTTCTTCTTTTTTTTTTTTTTTTGAGCTGGTTTACCAGTACATGACTGCCTCTACCATTCTTCACCTACACCTAGATCCAAACAAAAACAATCCTGAATTTTGTCAACACACTAGAAATTTAAAACTCCAATATTTCATTCTCTAACCACCACCTCAACTCAGCTCTCTCACAGTCCTAGTTCCCCCATGCCTTCTCTTTAGCATCACAGAGACTTTCAGGCCTGATGTGCACTTTCTTTCCACACATCCAAGGGCAGGAAGGCTTCCAGTCAACCATGCTGTACTGTTTCCTTTTATTCTCCCTAGAGAAGAGAAAGAACAAATTAATCAACACATATCAATATTACTGGGTAGAGTAATACAAGGTAACAAAAATTCTTTTTCTTTTAAAACAAATCAAAATTTACTCTAATCTTCATCATGAAATAAAATTGTGTGTGTGTGTGTGTGTGTGTGTGTGTGTATACATATACATGGGGGATTTAGGATAATACTTTGATGATTATGACATTTAGGATATCACACACAGACTGAACTACTTCTACCACAATAATTGCCCAAAGGCATTCTTTAATTTGGATTTAGAAAATGGAAGGAAACTGGAAGTAACTATATTGCAACAAAGAATAATATATGTGAAAATTTGGCATCTTATGCACAAATAGCTTAGATACTCAAATGACTGATTTTATGACTGATCTTGCTTTATTTTTTATTTTTCTAAATATTTTTTAGTTGTAGGTAGACATAATAACTTTATTTTATTTAGTTTTTTTATGTGGAGCTGAGAATAGAACCCAGTGCCTCACATATGCTAGTCAAGTGCTGCATCACTGAGCCACAACCCCAGCCTTGGATCTTGCTTTGAATACCAATTGCAATTGCTAGAATGGTCATATCTATCTATCTCTCTCTCTCTGTGTTCTAAAAGTACACTACAGTTTCTAAAGTTATCTATAGTTTCAATTGTGTTTCCATATTTTCTACATCCCCTCCTTTCTTAGGATTATAGTCACAGGGGCTGGGGATGTAGGTCAGTGGTAGAGCACTTGCCTAGCATGTATGAGGCACTGGGTTCAATAATCAGCACCACATAAAAATAAATCAATAAAATAAGGTATTGTCCATATACAACTAAAAAAAAAATTTTAAATAAAATAAAAAGGGCTGGGGATATAGCTCAGTGACAAAGTGCCTCTGGGTTCAATTCCTGGTACCCACCCCACCACACACACAAAATAACTCTGGAGATATGTGATACACACAGAAAAAAATCATATATATACATACACACACAAATATATATATATATTTACATACACACATATATATGTATATGCGTGTGTAGGTATGTGTATGTGTATATATATATATATGTAGGTATAGAGTGTATGTATGTGTGTGTGTGTGTGTGTGTGTGTGTATAGTTGGAGTCCCAGAATGAGAGAAAGAATGAGATTGCATAATAATCAGATTGTTTATAATTAAAAACAGAGAAAGTCTTATAAGCAGCCATAGGGATTGGGAAGAGTGGAGAGACTCATTACCTTAAAAGGCACAACAATAAGAGTATAAAACTGACGGCTGACTTTTTAACAGACACCAAGGCAATCAGACAATAAAAGAATGATATCTTAATGTGCTGAAAGAAAAAACTTCAAACCCAGAATTCTATACCCAGTGAAATACCATCCATGAGTGAACATTAAATAAGAAAGTTTTTAAGAAAATTAAACAAAAAAAACTGATAGAATTCACTGCTATAGGAACTGAAGCATTAAAAATAGTTCTTCAGGAGCTGGGGTTGTAGCTCAGTGGTGGAGCACTTGCCTAGCATATGTGAGGCTCTGGGTTTGATTCTCAGCACCACATATAAATAAGTAAAATAAAGTTCCATTAACAACTAAAAAATATATTTTTTTAAAAAAGTAGTTCTTCAGGTTGTTGGAAAATAATTTCATTGGAGAATTACAGGAATAAAGAACACCAGTGCAGCTGGGGATATAGTGCACGGTAGAGTGACTGCTCAGTAAGCATGAGGTCCTGGTTTCAATTTCCAGCACTGCAATAAATTAATTAATTAAAGAGCACCAGAACAGATAATGATATTGGGAAACAGACATAAATATGATAGTTAATAATGACTATAAAGGGGCTGGAGTTGTGGCTCAGTGGTAGAGCACTTGCCTAGTACATGTGAGGCACTGGGTTCAATCCCCAGCACCACATAAAAATAAATAAAATAAAGGTATTGAGTCCATCTACAACTAAAAAATTATATAAAAAATAATGACTATAAAAATAAGGTCTGGGTGGGGCTGTAGCTCAGTGGTAGAGTACTCACCTGACATATGTGAGGCTCTGGGTTTGATTCTCAGCACTGCATGTAAATAAATAAAAATAAAGTTCCATCAACAACTAAAAGAAATATATTTTTTAAAAATAAGGTCTCATGGGATTTGTATTGTGTGTAAAAGTATATATGGCAAAAAGAGCATGGTAGGTATGGGATAAATTCAATTAAACTATCATAAGAGTCTTAATTTGGGGGAGAAGTTATAGAAGTATTAAAGTAAACTATAATAAATCAAGTATGCACTTTAAAATCTTCAGGGCTGATAAATAGCTCAACACTGGAGCTCTTGCCTAGGCTGAAACAGGAGGAGCCACATTCAAGGTTAGCCTTGGCAATTTAGCTCAGTGGTAGCAGGCATCTGGCTTTAATCCATAAAACTTCACACATGCATACACACATGCAAACACACACAAATTTATAATTGTAGATTTTTTAAAAATTTACTATTTTAAAATCATGATGGATATTTAGCTTATACATAAAATCAAACCTTTCAAATCTGTGTATTCCAGTGTTCATCTTAAAATCAGATTAGTACATATAGATTAGAATGTGATTTCATTCCCAACATTAAAATTGTCCCACTTTTTAAAAAGTGAACTTTATACAAATAATGAATTCTACAATTCCTAATAGAAAATAATTTTGCTAGCTACTGTTTAGGCCACACCTATTTTGCTTTATGGTAGGTCCTAAGGGGGAGTGTAGTCACTCCCCCTTAGGACCTACCATAAAGTAAATTATCTAACAGAATTTGAGAGTTTGAATTTGAGGGATCCAGTTCAGGGCCTCCTTGTGACATTGTTGTTAAGAGGTCACCTGGAGAGGCAGTCATTTGAAGGATTGACTAGGGCTGAAAAATCAGCTTCAAGGTGGCTCATTCATACCACTGTTGGCAAAAGTCCTGAGTCCCACTGGCTGGGAGTAGACTTGTTTTTCACTGCATGAGCCTAAAAACAGCTCTGTTTGATATGTCCTCATGACCCAGCAGCTGTTTCCCTCAGGGTGAATGATCTAAGAGACAGCAAGAAGGAAGTTGTGACCTATTGACATAATTCCACTTCCACCATATTCTAATCAGAAGGAGGGGAATTGGCTGTGTGTGTGTGTGTGTGTGTGTGTGTGTGTGTGTTGCTGGAGTTTGAACCCAGAGCCTTACACATGCTAAGCAAATTGCTTTACCACCAAGATATATCCCCAGTCCTTTTTTTTTTTCTTTAATTTTTCTGAAACAGGGTCTCACTAAGTTGCCCAGGCTGTCATTGACCTTGCAGTCCTCCTGCCCCAGCCTCCACAGTAGCTGGGATTACAGATTTACAGATGTGCACTACCACATCAAGCTAGATTCCATCTTTTGAAGGAAAAGAAAATCAAATAATTTGTGGTCTTATTTTAAAACAGCCATACAAATGCTGTTTTGTGTGGGAATTTGTTTGTTTTCCTGAAACAATGTTGTTAAGAACTGTATCTCCCAGCCTTGGGTATATAAAGATGAATAAAAGAGGCAGAACTCTAATGGAACTTAAAAAAGAGACAGTAAACAAATATAAAAATTCATAAAATACTTTTAGGTGGTGATTTTAAAAACAGAGTAAAGTACTAGTAATCAGAGATCAAATGAGGGAATACTTTTTGATAGTGTGCCTAGAAAGGCCTTCTGTGCTAAGATAAATGGGATTGTACTATATATTCTATTATATAACCTGATTTTATCATTAACAAGGCCATAAGTCTTAGCTTGGGCTGCTATAACAAAATACAGACTGGGTGACTTATAACAAGACACTTGTGTCTCACAGATCTGGAGCCAGAAAAGTTCAAGATCAAAATGCCATTCAATCATAATGAGTGTTCTCTTCCCATTTTAAAAATGGCTGCTTTTTCACTATGTCCTTACACAGCAGAGAGCTCTAGTTTCTCTCTCTCCCATCATGAGGCCCCACCTTCATGACCTCATCTAAACCTAATTACTTTTCATAAAAGCCTTCCCTTCAATAACATCATCAAATTAGGGGTTAAATCTTCAATGTGTCAGGCATGGTGGTGCATGCCTGTAATCCAAAGGACTTGGGAGGCTGAGGCAGGAGGATTGCAAGTTTGAGGCCAGTGTCAGCAACTAAGTGAGGATCTCAGCAATTTAATAAGACCTTGTCTCAAAATATAAAATCAAATGGACTGGGGACATAGTTCAGTGGTAAAGCCACTAAAGTATTTTTATCTAGAGCAGTACTGTTGGCACACAGTGGCCACTTATTAAGTACTCGCTCAGGTCATACATAGACATATCAAGGTGTTTGAGGTGCCAAAGGCAACAAATTTAGAGAGAAGGCATCTGGTTTGGGGCCTTGTCCAGACACAGCTTTAGGCAATATTCTTTAAAGTTCACACTCTCACCTGTACAGTGGGGTTTATACCATATTCCTCAGCATAAGAGACAGTTCAAACAGTCAAGCTGGGCGTGGTGGCACACACCTGGAATCCCAGAGGTTCAGGAGGGTCAAAGCTAGCCTCAGCAATTCAGTGAGGCTATAAGGAATTTAGTGAAACCCTGTCTCAAAAAAAAAAAAAAAAAAAAGTAGTATATGTTTTTAAAAAGGTAGTGTAAGACACAATAGTTTAATTCCCTGCAATTTACAGGAACATGTTTTAATTACCCTTTAAATTTCACTTGTTCAGATAATGACATAATCTAAGTATACACTTTTTAAAAAATATTTTTTTTAGTTGTCAATGGACCTTTATTTTATTGATTGATAATAGGTGCTGAGAATCGAACCCAGTGCCTCACACATGCTAGGCAAGTGTTCTGCCACTGAGCCACAACCCCAGCCCTAAGTATACACTTTCAAGGGCCCCTGTGTTACATGGTATCTGTAGAAGGTCAAATTGTATGTGTGTGTGGTGGTGGTGGTGGTAGGGGTGCTATCAAGATTTCCTGTTGAACAACTCTGGAAATAGTCATGTGTGGAATAATGACTTTCCAGTAAAGGACTGACCACATTTACAATGGGGTCCAAAAAGTTATATTGCTTAGTGACCATGTAGTCCTCTTAGTTCACGCTCTATCATGGTCGAAATGGACTAAGAACGCATTTTGTTGAAGTGTTCCTATCATAAATCCACACATGACCGTACACTAAAATCACTAAATCATACACTTAAAATGGGTGCATTTTTATGGTATGTAGATTATACCTCAACAAAACTGCCAATGAAACCAAACAAAATTTTCTAATTCCATATACGGGGGTACTGTAAAATATTCTTCGAATTTAAGTATAAGAAAAAAAAAATACCCAAAGAGCTCCCCAGCACCCACCCCCCCAAAAAAGAACCCGAGTAATAATAAATCGTGCCATTAGTTGAAACAGGCTACTTAAGAAACAGCTAACTGGTCAGGTCCTAAGTGATCTATCTGGAGGACTAAACTACATGGGGAGGTTGAACCCGGGCTCGGTAAGAACCTAGCCAGGTGCTGGTGCAGAGAAAGCAGAGTCAGCGGACCCGGCGCCCAGCGGGACCGTCCTCACCCACACCCCAGCTGCCTCGTCGGTCCCGCAGGTTCCCGGAGCAAATGCCAAACTCAGTCCTGCTCCCGGAGGGACGCCTACAGGGAGGAGCGTGCGCTCCGAGGGTCAACCTCATCTCGCGGACCGGCGGCCCGCGTCCTTGCTCCAACCCCAGGTCTGGGGCGGGGAACCACGCACCCTCTAGTACGGTCACCCTTCCCAGCACAGCGGGGCTGGAACAGCCACGGGGCTTCAACCTTGGCTGGCACCAGGTTCGCTCACGAGTTTTTTTTTAAAAAGTTACTGGCTCCATCTCAGACCCTAAGAATGAGAGGCCAGCCCCGACCACTGTCGGGAGCCGCCCAAACGACCAAGCTCAAGGTCTGCAGTCGCTGCTGCACTGGGCGGAGCAGAACTTTCTCGAGAGCCTAGACACAGCAAAGTGTCCCCAGGGCGCAGATTCGTAGCGGAGACGCGCCTCCAGAGCCCGTGAAACGGATCCCGCCAGGCCGCCCCGCCCCGCGCCCTGATTGGCTGGAACGGAGGCGGGCCCCACCCCAGTCAGAGGCGCGCTCTGCACCGGCTCTTTCCACCAACCCATCTTTGCCCCTAACAGCCATTTCTGACGGCCTTCGTTTTTTTCTTTGCTCTCTCCCGCCAGCAGCGTTGAGCACCAGCACCCACCACAGTTGAATACCCGACCCTTTCGCCGCACAGGCGCAGTAGTGTGGGTTCCCTGAACTGTTGGACGCTAGCGGACTGTTCCGAGAAGTCGCTCCGCCAGTTTGGCCGCACCTACAGTGGGAATCCCATAAGGGACTCACGTACTAGAACGTGGTCGCCACGTAAGCGGAGGACTTGGGGCTGGGACGTTTTGCACCGTAGGACATTGAATAGGGTGTTCCTCTTTGCGGAAGGGGACACTTGTAGGGGAAAGGCGGGGCTAGGTGGCTGAGGGAGGAGGCTGATCTCAGACTGTCAACGCCTGAAGACACGTTGTTTGGCTGTTGAGGAAAGGAGCCTGTATCAGAATGTACCTAGTGGCTGTGCCCGCTGGCTCCTGTCTTTTGCGGGTAAAGAGCTCCTTTAATCTGACCAGAACATGTTCTGCCAGAGTCGTTGGGGCTGCCTGGAATCTCACAGTTAGAACTCAGGAATCCAGGTCACATTCTTTAACTTCGATATAAAATTCGAGTTCAAAGAAGTGCCAGGACTTTATCAAGTGTGCAAAGCTGTTTAGTGACAAGTTCAGTAAGAACAAGGTCTTACATCCCATTACTTTCTCCACCATACATACTTGAATCTTATCATCTTGCTTAAGAGAACCCCATAAATTTACCCCTTTTCCTCAAACCTGTGTTTGCCATCTCTTAGGTTCTGGCCTCATAACCACCTTCTAGTTTCTGACCCTGAGAAATTTAGCATTTCAGTTGATTTCTTGTTCAATCCCAAAGGAGTTCTGAATGCTTAACCAATGCATTTGGTTGCCACACTTATTTACCTTTTTTTTTTTTTTTTTTTTTTGGTAGATGAGAGTTTGGGACGATTATAAGCAATGCTGCCATAAATAATCTAATAAATGTCTTTTTGTATAATATACACACATTTGCTAGTTATATACGTAGGAGTAGAATTGCCTATTCATAAAGCATAAATGTATTCAATTTTAGTAGTTGTTAACTATGGTAGGCACAATAAATAACTATGCCCTTATCCCTGGCACCTGTATTAAGTTGTATGGCAAAAAAGAATGAGGGTTGTTAATCATCTTAAAAAGGGACATCAGGGCTGGAGAGCACTTGCCTAGCAAGTGTGAGCCCTCAGTTCTACCCTAGTATGACAAAGTATTAACAATTTAAAAAGGGACTTCATTCTTGATTGCTCAGGTGGGCCCAATATAATCACAAGGGCTCTTATATGGGGAAGAGGGAGGCAAGTAGAGCAGAGGAGAACCAGAGAAATAGTAGTATGGCAAAATGGGGATGGCCTGATGACCCTGGATTTATTTCTGTGGTACTGGAAATTGTACCCAGAGATGCTCTACCACACCCCCTTTTTATTTTTGAGACATGTCTTGCTAAGTTGCTGGGGTTGCCCTCAAACTTTCAGGTCCTCCTGCCTCAACCTCCAGAGTCACTGGGATTACAGGCATGCCCTACTGCACCCTACTGACCCTAGATTTAAAGATGGAGGAAGGAGGCAATGAGCCAATAATGTTGGCAACCTCTAGAAGTTGGAAAAGGCAAAGAAAAAGATTTTCCTCTTCCCTGAGGGACACAGCTCTACCAACAACTTGATTTTTAAGCCCAGTGAGACATCCAAAACTATAAGATAAAAATTTGTATTTATTATCTTAATTTTTCTACTTATATATTTACCTATTTTTATTTCAGCCAACAAGCTTTATTTGTTATGGTGACCCAGAAAATTAATTAACAGTTTTCCCAAGTAATTTTATCAATTTTTATACTTAGGAAGCTTTGAGAAAAATAACTGAGCTGGAACCTCTAATAGGACTAGAAAAAAAGAAAGTTTATTAGGTGATTCTGATGCATCTTGAGAACCAGTTATCTAAACACTTATATCTACATCTGTCCTTAAAGAACAATGTGCAGTGATTTGGATTGAAAGCATTTCTAGAAAAAATTGTCCCAGATATTTGAAGGGTAACTCTCCCTAACTTGCTCAGAATTAACACAGTTAACACTTTTTACAATCCCTCTTCTGTGAATAGCCAGTTCCTGTTCCAGGCAGGGTGTACCCCACATTTTCTTTTTCTTTTTTTTTTAACCCCACATTTTCTCTTTTGCTAGACCAAGAATATTACTCCTCACCCCCATATACTGGGATTAAACCAAGGATCAAGGAAATTCTTCAGAGGAAGGATAAGCAAGTTTTTTTATGTTCCAGCCATGTATCCTAAAGTCCAGGGAAAGAGTGCCTTATTCCTCAGGTTTGCACGTCAGCTTCCTTGGTAGGGATACCAACTGATGAGCCTCACTTGGCAGTAAATTTACAAAAGTTCTGGGCAGTTTTTATCACAAAGATGTTATCAAAAGAAACAAAGTGATCAAATGTTGAAATTATAAACTACTTGAAACTAGTACTCATGTACTTTCCTGATAGATGTTAAATATCACTGTTTCCCCTTAAATTTTGAAATATTTCAACTAAGAATACAAGTTTCTGATTCACATTCTGCTTAAAATTCTGTAATTCTTGAAGTATATCAAGATTCCTTGGCATACAGTTTGAGAGTCACAACTATGACGATTTAGAAGGTGATTCTCATTTTTCCTTAAATGGGTATTTTATATAATCATTTTCTTCCAAAGTGCTACTTCTGTAAGGTCCAATATAACCTGATCCCTCCCATGCTAAGGAGCCCTCCAAAACTAAGCCAAACAGGAGACCCTTTGCAGTGACCACAACAGACATTGAATCCCACATGCTTGTTCAGATTCTGACCTGTTCCCACAGAGGACATATTGGGTAAATCTAAGACTACCTTGGAAGATGAACAATTTCCTACTTTAAATGAAATATATTAGAAATTATACTATTTTTAAAAAGCCCGTAAACTTAGAAATCAACCTACCATTAGGGAAACACTGACAGACACTATTAAATGTTAGGAAAATAAAAAACAATGTAGTCTATTGCCTGACAAGAATTGTCAAAGACCTTCCTACCCCTCAACATTTCATATTTGCTATTCATACTCTGTTAATAAAATGTATAAGATAGATTCTTAAGGGGTATTTTATTTTTAGTTGTAGATGGACACAATACTTTATTTACTTATTTTTAAGTGGTGCTGAGGATCGAACCTAGTGCCTCACACATGCAAGGCAATCACTATACCACTTAGCTACAGCCATAGCCACAGCCCCTCTTAAAGGGTTTTTTTTTAACCCAATAACTTGTTCATTCTAGAAACAGACTGTTAACTATGAATATAAATATTTCAACTAAGAATACAAGTTTCTGATTTGCATTCTGCTAAAAATACAGCTAGTGATTAAAGGTCATTAGATAATTGTATGTATTACAAAGTAGCAATCCAAACTAGACTATACTAAAGGTATTGAACAAGATTATTTACAAAGACATGTTAAGTGCCAAACATCACAGGAGAGAAGAGACTTAAGTAAAATTTTTCCACTGCATTTTATTCATGATACAGCATATTCAAGATGCCGTAGGAAACAGCTATATCTGCTCAGTTCTTGGCAGCAATTAAAAGGCAGAACTTGTTTATTCATTATCTTGTCCAGTCTCACAATCAGAAGCAATCTTTGATTTGTTAGATATTTCATAAACTTGTATAATAAGCTTTAACTGATTGATGATTTCTTTGTCTGCTGTTTTCATGTCAAATCCCAACATCTTCAAAATAGTTTCTCGAAAGTCACCAAGCTATAAAGAACCACCCACAAAAATCAAGATATGTCATTAGTTTCAGTCACCAATTTATTTTGCACAATGAAATTAATATTAGAAATTTGGTCTTATTCAGCTTTTCTTTTTAAATGTAATATATGCTACATTCAAATGGTATTTTTAAGCTAGAAAATTAGTCTCTTTTATTCCAATAATTCTTTAAAATTTCCTTTATATTTTTCTTATGTTTACACTTTAGTAGATTAGACCTATTTTTTTTTTACATCTTAATGTTTTTCACCCATAAGGCAATTAAATTTTGTTGCTGCTGTTGTTTGAGATGGGGATTTTACTATGTTGCCCAGGCTGGCCTCCAACCCTTAGGCTCAAGTGATCCTCCAGCCTCAAGCCTCTTAAGGAACTGGGACAACATATGCACAACCACACTTTTTAGACTTCTGGTGTGCTTTATGATAATAGAAGTCCCTTAAATATATATCCATCCATACTCAAAAGCCACAGTGATCTAGAAAGAGCACAAATAAAAACCATCCAAAGGGGCTAGGGATGTGGCTCAAGTGGTAGTGCGCTCGCCTAGCATGTGTGAGGCACTGGGTTCAATTCTCAGCAGCACCACATAAAAAATAAAGATATTGTGTCCACCTAAAACTAAAAAAAAAAATCACCCATAAATCCATGCTTAAAACAACTAAAGAATATCACAGCCTTCAATCTGCATTGAGTGGAAATGAATATCCTAAACTAGTAGGGGCAGCTCCAGAGGAGGGTGCTAGGGGCAGCTCCAGAGGAGGGTGCTACTGGTTTCCACTGTTGTAGAACACAGATAGCCTTACCCCCAGGAAATGGGATAGTTCTCAAATGGGGAAATACAGAGAATAAATCTGAAACCTGATAGTGAGGAAGGAAAAGAAAGAGGCCTGAAAGCATAAAGACCAGAAATGGTAGTTCTAGAGGGCAAGGGGAGGTTGAAGAGTTTAGAAGGGTGAAGTGTTTCTTAGTGGCTTGGTAATAAAGGAAAAGGAAGAAGTAAACAATGAAATTAAAAGACATATACAAACGGGAGAGTATGGCAGAATCATACATCACACAAATTCCTACCCCCAAAATAAAAGGCTTGTTCTAGTGAACTTCAAAAACTGCATTTACCACCTCAACAAAAGAGGGCGGTATTGAGTTAAGAAACCTAGTAAGTAAACCCAACCTACAGCTACTAAAGAAGAAACATGAAAACCAGGACAATTAAAAGGATTTCAAATTGAACAGATAAATGGCAAATTAATATCCATAGAGAATTGCTTTAGGAAGAGTCAGGTGGAGTGGTGCACACCTATAATCCCAGCAACTTGGCAGGCTGAGGATAGGAGGATTCCAAGTTTCAGGCCAGCCTCAGCAACTTAGTGAGAACCTGTCTCAAAATAAAAAGGCCTGGGGATGTAGCTCAGTAGTAAAGCTCCTTTGGGTTCAATCCTCAGTTTTCCCTCAAAAATAATTGCTTTAAGAATAAGCAGTGGGCTGGGGATGTGGCTCAAGTGGTAGCGCGCTTGCCTAGCGTGCATGCGGCCTGGGTTCGATCCTCAGCACCACATACAAACGAAGATGTTGTGTCCGCCAAGAACTAAGAAAAAATAAATAAATGTTAAAATTCTCTCTCTCTCTCTGTCCCCCTCTCTCTCTCACTCTCTCTTAAAAAAAAAAAAAGAAAAAGAATAAGCAGTATTATCAAAACTGTTTAGGTGATGAAAATATGCCCCCCCCGAAAAAAAAAAAAAAAACAGTCACAAAGCACAGGAAACATGTTTGACACAAAACCCTGAAGTGAATTAAATCTTAATTAATTAAATGAGGATTTGCAGACATAGAAAACAACAACACCTTTCTTTGAATTATACATTTAATAATTCAGAATAAAACCATGTCTAAGATGTCTAATGAATACAGAAGATACGATCATTGAAATCAGGCAAGAATAACAGAAAATCTTTTCAGAAATGAGGAGTGAGCTACAAAATGACCAAAGGAGGGCCGGGGTTGTGGCTCGGTGGTAGAGCACTTGCCTAGCATGTGTGAGGCACTGGGTTCAATCCCTGGCACATTTAAAAAAAAAAAAAAGTGACCAAAGGGGAATAGACTTTACTGAAAATATAAGGGGCATTGAAAAGAGGGATAAAAACAACATAGAAAATGAATATGCATAGGCTGGGATTGTGGCTCAGCAGTAGAGCGCTCGCCTGGCATGCGAGGGGCCCTGGGTTCAATCCTCAGCACCACATAAAAATGAATGAATGGAATAAAGGTACTGTGTCCAACTACAACTAAAAAATAGAAAAGAAAATGAAAATGCAGAAAATAGAGGGAAAGAGACAAAGATGCAGAGAGAAAGAAGAGAAAACACTAATCTTATGACTTTGGTGTTTTTGTTTTGTTTTTTAATCAAGACAGGGTCTCAGTAAGTTGGTTAGGGCCTTGCTAAGTTTCCAAGGCTGGCTTTGAACTTGTGATCCTCCTGTCCCAGCCTCCTGAGTCTGCTTTGAGCATATCATCAAGAATTTGGAAAAGTTTCAAATTTTTTAAGCAACTAATATGGATATGTGATTATACTTTAAGAATGGCCCAAAATGATCAGTTAGCTTTTAAAAAGTCTGTTAAAATATTTGCCTTGTAGTGAAGTCCTGGGATTGGATCCCAAGCACTGAAAAGAAAAGGAACAAGAAAAAAAAAAAAAAAAAGGAAGGAAGAAAAAAGGAAACAAATTTGCTTTATAAGTATAGTGAAAATCTAAGCAAGTTTAGAAGTGTCATTCTATTCTAGAATGTGACACAAACAATAACATACATGGTTTCCTCATGTATTGTACTGAGATTCCATTCTCTAACATGACCCTATCCTCCAAACTAAAACAATCACATATCCCATTCCTAAGCCATTGTGGGATTCTCCAGGGAGAAACACTTGATTTAAACTGGCCCAATAAGATCCCTTCTGGAATTTTTCTCTCCCATCACAAGAACTAAATATGAAACTCCATGGCTGTCATTGACCATGTTTCCTGTCATAGGAAAAAAAAATAAAATAAAACACTGGTAGTCAGACAAACTGTCACACAGATGCCAAGAAGACAGTGAAAAAGGTCCTGTAAAGTGCCGGGTGCTAGTCCTGGGGCCTAGGTTCATCTCTGACTTCACAGAGATTAGTTTAACCTGTTTTTTATACCATAAGTCAATAAATTCTGTTTTGTCTAAGTTAGTTAGTGTAAGTTGAGGTGGGTGTGTTTATCATTCCAACTAAATTAACTTTAATATAGTAATAAGAAAAAAAAACCTCTTGTTCTTGTCCTGACACTTCAAGCACGTTCTTGGCTATGGAGAGCTCAGGAGTGACAGTGTCTAACATCTGACGGGCCTTCTCTTTGTCTGGTCTTGCTTCTTGCTCTGCAGAGTCGGATGTAGTTTTCAAATCATCTATATTCATAACTACCTTCTCCTTCATTGTTTCAACTTTTGTTAAAGATTGCCTGAGCTTCATAATTGTTTTGTCCTATGAGAGGGTAAATGTGGATGAAAGAGAGTAGACGACTGTGAGTTGATCTCCTATAAAAAACAGTCAGGCTTGATAACTCGTGTTTTTTTTTTTTCCCCCATCTCTCTTTGAAAAGAGGTATGATTATGACTTAGATCTGAAATTTCCTCCAAAATCTCATGTGTTGAAGGGTGTCTCATCACAGATCCAAAAACAATAGAGCCAAGTGATCCTGGACTGAAACCTCTGAAATCATGAGCCAAAATAAATCTTTTTCTCTTTTTTTTTAAGTTGATTATCTCTGGTATTTTGTCACAGCAATGAAAAGTTGATGACCACATATGGAAAAGAGAAATAGTCCACAATTTTTCAATTAAGAGTCATTTCTACCATTCATAATCATTTAGCATTTATATAAACTGAATTCATGGATTTAAAGAAGCTTAACACATTTTCCATATCCTTAAAGGTCTTACAGCCTACATTAAACAAATACAGAAATGGATAAAATAATTGGTTCAACAGTAAGAAAAATATTGGTGATAAAACAGCATATCAGTTGATCAATTATTTAGTGTGTATTTGGCTTAACTCAAAATCTACTTTTGATATAGGAAAACTGAATCTAGCTCCAAAGAAGAGAAAAAAAATATCCATTAACCCAATAAGAAACTACAATAAAACTAAAACAAAAAGAAGCAAGGGATTTAAAATCATAACATTCAGAATACCAGTTACCTTTGAGAAATAGGGAGGAGGATACCTGGGGGCTTCAGTGGGATTGGTAACATTCTGTTTTCTAAAATGATTGATGGATTCACAGGCATCCAATTTTATTTTCCTATAGTAATACATATTATAGAATAACATATTATATATTAATGTTACATATTATTCTGTTTGTATATAAAATTATTTTAATTTATTCTTTAAAAAGTTCAATGAGAGCTAATGCAGTTAAATAGGAATGGACCAAAACTTTTATGAATTTTTGAAAACTTCATTTCCTTTACTTACTTTAAGGACATTTATTTTTGTCAGTTGAGTTTTCATATTTTTATTTGATAATTTCAAATCACTGAGCTGTTTCTGAAGTTTCTGAATTTTCTCCTCCAATATTGGCGTTGTAATAATCTGTAAATTTTGCCGAATATTCAACAACATCTCTAATTGTTTGAACTTCTTGTTATGCTTATCTACTTGAGAATCCGGAGTTCTGAAGTTTTCCTTTGCAGAAATTAACAGTATTGAAATAAATAATTGGCTTTAAAATGTTCTATACTAGCATGATACCAATCTATTCTAGAACAATAAACTGTAGGCTTAATAATATTTACATAAGTAAAATATCTTTTCAACATAAATACACATTTTAAGATAATTGGGAGACTAAAATGCTACAATAAAAGTGATGTCTATTGCTATCAAAGGTAACAGTTAAACAGACTATTTGTAAATACTTAGCAATAGTGTAGATTAATTCTTCTTTTCTAGGAATGTATTCTAAGAAAATAATGAGCATTTGTATAAAGATTCATGTACAGAGATATTCTTTACTACTCTATTCATAATGAAAAATAAAAGAAATACAAATGTCAGGAAAATTACATATGGTAATAATACATTCCCTAGAAATTGTTTAAAAATATTTATTAAAAGAAAATAATAATATAGAGTTAAATGAAAGAAACAGGATTAAGAAAAACTATGCTTATCTCAGTTGTTAAAAATATGCACTGAGGAGCTGGGGCTGTAGCTCAGTAATAGAGCGCTTACCTCTCATGTGTGGGGCACTGGGTTTGATCCTCAGTACCACATAAAAATAAATAAAGGTATTGTGTCCATCTAAAACTAAGAAAATGTTTTTTTAAAAATGCATGAAGAGCCAGGCATGGTGACACACTCCTGTGAGTCCAGTGACTCAGAAGATTGAAACAGGAGATTGCAAGTTCAAAGCCAACCTTAGCAACTTAGTGAGGCCCTGAGTAACTTAGTGAGACACTGTCTCTAAATAAAAAATAAAAATGGCTGGGGATGTGGCTCAGTGGCAAAATACCCCTGGATTCACTTCCCAGTACCAAACAAACAAACCAGACAAAAATAATATGTATGGAAAGTAATCAAAAGAAAACATTATAATATGATATATGATAACACCAGTTATTTCCAAATGGTGGCATTACTGGTGATTTTGGTCTTATTCTTTTCCTATTCTGTGCTTTATAAATCTTTATAATGCACATGAATTAATTTTATTATGAGAAAAAAATAGTTATTTAAAATATCTTGACAAATGTAGCAAATGTATTAAAACATTCAAAGAAACAAAATAGATAACACTGGATAACAAAAATAAGAATGGCACATTTTTCTCAATAACAACACTGGAGCCCCAAAGATAATTAGAAGAATTAATGTTTTCTAATCTCTGTGTGAACTCAATTATCAATCAAATGTGAAGATTTTTTTTAAAAGACCTTTTTATTTATGCAAGTACTCAAAGAAAAAGTATCTTTCCCACGGTATCATTTCTTAGGAAGTTATTGGAGGATGTATCCAAGCAAAATGAGAAAGTTAACCAAAAATAAAAGAAGAAGAAGAAGAAGAAGAAGATATGAGATTCAGAGATTAGAGAAGAAAAGTCACTGGATCACACCTAGGTCCAGACCCATAGAGTAAAAATCAAGATCCCCAGTCTTAAGGAAGAAAATGAAAATTTTGAGAGAGAAGGGAAAAAATGTCATATTTTTATAGACTAGTAGATCATTTGTTATAATATTTAAGGGAAAAACAAATGAATGTTGAAAATTACACATATGAAAACACAAGGAAGGTATATTCACTCTAAGGAAAAGTGCAATGCAAGAAAGGACATGAAACAAGAACATAGTACTTTGTAACTTTTGTAAATATTTAGTTGTCATAGTGAAGTAAATATTGATTATGGATCTCTCCCCAACTATCAGTATATCAACTATATTTGGGAAATAGCTAGATGGGAAAGTGGTATAAGAGAAATAAAACTTTAATATGAAATCAACAGATAATGTCTGAAATAGAAAATTCAAGATGTAGTAGTATAAAATTATTTAGGGAAATGAAGGTACTACCAGAAGCAACAATCAAAAAATAAAAAATAAACACAGCCCTTGTTCTGTCTTGTCTCCAGGGAAGTCTGGAATTCTTGTACTGTATTTTGGTCAAAAGAGGAGTTAAGCATACTAAATAGTAAAATTTTCTATGTACTTTTTATAGTCTGTTTAAATATCCCCAGGAGAAATCCTGTTATCAAAAATGTATGGACTAAAAAAACAAAAACAAAAACAAAAACACACAGCCTTGCCCTACATTTCACTTAATGGCAGATGAAGAATTAGTTCCACACAACACGTTTAAAAGAACAACAAATGAGGGCTGGGGATGTGGCTCAAGCGGTAGCGCTCGCCTGGCATGCGTGCGGCCCGGGTTCTATCCTCAGCACCACATACCAACAAAGATATTGTGTCTGCCAAGAACTAAAAAATAAATGTTGGAAATTCTCTCTCTCTCTCTCTCTCTCTCTCTCTCTCTCTCTCTCTCTCTCTCTCTCTCTCTCTCTCTCTCTCCTCTCTCCTCTCTCCTCTCTCCTCTCACTCTCTCTTTAAAAAAAAAAAAAGAACAACAAATGAGATGGATTCAAACTAAAAAGCTTCTTCTCAGCAAAGGAAACTATCAATAACATGAAGAGAGAGCCCACAGAGTGGGAGAACATCTCTATTACATGCACATCAGATAGAGCACTGCAGATATATGAAAAACTCCAAAAACTTAACCCCCAAACCAACCCAATCAATAAGTGGATGAAGGAACTGAGCAGACACTTCTCAGAAGATATAAAAACAATCAACAAATATATGAAAAATGTTCAACATCTCTAGCAATTAGAGAAATGTATATCAAAACTACTGTAAGATTTAATCTCATTCCAGTCAGAATGGCAATTATCAAGAATACACTCAACAATAAATGTTGGCGAGGATGTGTAGAGGAAAGGCACACTCATACATTGCTGGTGGCACTGCAAATTGGTGTAACCACTCTGGAAAGCAGTATGGAGATTCCTTAGAAAACCTAGAATGAGGGTTGGAGTTGTGGCTCAGAGGCAGATCGCTGGCCTAGCATGTGTGAAGCACTGGGTTCGATCCTCAGCAACACATAAATATAAAAAATAAAGATATTGTATAAGTAAAAGTAAAAAATAAATATTAAAAAAAAATAAAACCTATAATGAAACCACCATTTGACCCAGTCATCCCACTCCTTCCTTGGTCTATACCCAAAGGACTTAAAATCAGCATACTATAATGACACAGCCACATCAATGTTTATAGAGGCTCAATTCACAATAGCTAAACTGTGGAACCAACCTAGATGCCCTTCAAAAGATGAATGGATAAAGAAACTGTGATATATGTACACAATGGAATATTACTCAGCATTAAAAGAGAATAAAATTATGGCATTTGCAGGTAAATGGATAGAGTTGGAGAACATCATCATGCTAAGCAAAGTAAAAAAAACCAAAGGCCAAATGTTCTGGTAAGTGGATGCTGATCCTTAATGGGGGGAGGGAGAATGGGAAAAATGGAGGCAAAATGGAGGCACTTTGGGTTGGGTAAAGGGGAGAGGAGGAGGGGAAGGGGTATGGGGGTAGGTTAGAGAGTGGAATAAAACAGACTCATTACCCTAGGTAAATGTATGATTGCACAAATGGTGCGACTCTACATCATGTACAACCAGAGAAATGAAAGGTCTGAGGAAGTGGCTCAGTGGTAAAGTATCTTGGGTTCAATTTCTAGTACCCATAAATAAATAAATATTAATATACTGATGGGTCACTTTTTCAGATATTAATAATCTACATATTTATAATTTTGGTGATTGACATTGTTTGATAATTTGGTATGTTTCATTTGCAGATCTTATTTCATATTCCCCATTAGGATTTTGCAATGTTCTTCATATAAGTCCTGTATGTTTCTGGTACAATTTATTCTTGGTTAATACAAAGAATGCTTGTATACACAATTGGTTACTGATAAGAAAGAGGAAGAAAGAGGGTTGAAAAATTATTATTTTTTCTTAAAATCTTTTAACATGATTAAAAAGGTTGTGGAAATAATATGTTATTAGCTCCCCCCCCCCACTTTACTGGGAATTGAAACCTAGGGTACCCTATCATTAAGCTATATCCCTAGCCTTTTCATTTTTTATTTGAGACAGGGTCTCACTAAGTTGATGAGGCGGGCCCTTGAACTTGCGATCCTTCTGCCTCAGCATCCTGAGTAGCTAGGATTCCAGGCACGTGCAACTACGCCTGGATTGCATATTCTTAAATTTCAATATAGCATTTAAAATAATTTTATGTGGAAATGAATCATTATCAGTCACATACGTAAGAGCAGAGATAGAAGCTGCACTCATCTTTGAATTCTATGGAATATGTCTTTTTTCCCCCGGTACTGGGTTTGAACCCAGATGTAGTTTGCCATTGAGCTGTATCCCCAGTTTTTTTTTTTTTTTTTT